AGAGACTCCAAGCTCCTGTCAGGGAGTTGCAGAGGGTGCTAAGGTCTCCCCTGAGTCTCCTCTTCTCCAGGCTGAACACCCCCAGCTCCCTCAGCCTCTCCTCATGGCACTTGTGCTCCAGTCCCTTCCCCAGCCTCGTTGCTCTTCTCTGGACCTGCTCCAGCCCCTCAATGTCCCTCCTGAGCTGAGGGGCCCAGAACTGAGCACAGGATTCAAGGTGTGGCCTCACCAGTGCCAAGTGCATGGGAACAATCACCCCCCTGGTCTTGCTGACCACACTGTTCCCAATCCAGGCCAGGATGCCATTGGCCTTCTTGGCCCCCTGAGCACACTGCTGGCTCCTGTTCAGCTTCCTGGCTATCCAAACTCCTTATCCTGCTCTCCTCTCAGGAGACAAAGGAGCTACTTGGGCTGTCAAGAAGCAGCAATCATAATTCTGCCTGATTTTGTGGCTGCTCCATCCCTGGGAGTGTTCCAGGCCAGGCTGGACAGGGCTTGGAGCAACCTGGGCTAGTGGAATGTATCCCTGCCCATGGCAGGGGGTAGAACTAGATAATTTTAAGGTCCCTTCCAACCCAAACCTTCCGTGATTCTGTGGCCTCTCCCTCTGCCTGATTTAATTCACAGTTTTCCTTAGTAAGACTCAGCTCTCTTGGAAAACTCAATGAGAACAGCTCAAACGCTGCAGCTGCAGATTCCATACTGCCTGTAGCATAGACAAGGAAGCAGAGCCAAGGAAAACCATCACAGTTTCAGGCTTTCCTCAGGCAGATAAGCCTCTACACCACAGCAGCTCTGGGAATCATCAACTCCATGTCTTTGGGAAGAGCTATTATTAAAGCCTCGATGCACTGTCTCCATCTGCTGACAACACAGACCTGAATTCCAGCTACAAATCACTATTAAATTGTGGGATTAAGTGGAAAAAGGAAAAGAAACCTCTGTAACAGGAATAGTAGCTTGAATTTACTCAAATTAAAGGCATAGAGAAGTACACCTGGAGCACTGCAGCCTGTTAGCGATCACATTTAGACCGAAACCCTGACACAGTTTGGGAGGAGTTCAGGAGGATTTCAAGCAGCATATGTCTCCACAAATGCCATTTCCAGCATGTGGGGGAGATGACTGAGGAAATTCCAAGGAATCAGAACATCCCAGTGAGTGTTATACAGTTATGGGCAGGTTGGAAGCTCAGATTTCTCTAAGCCAGTTTCTTCTGCAATATAAACATCTGACATCTCTAATCAGATTACACATGGGTAAGACCTTCCCCTTCTTAATATTGCTTTTAGCTGCACTTGCCTGTAATCCCTTCAAAGTATATGATGCTTTCCCAACAGACCCAGAAAGACACTTTTACAGATGAGAACCTTTGTTCAGGACATATTTCCTTCTGACAACTGAATGGAGAAAGCTCTACTGCCAAGAGACAGATTCCCTTCACACAGGCTGTAACTAGCAGTGAACAGTGACTGCTGGGGGTTATGTATTAGGGAAATGGGCACAAGTGTGAGCCAAGATCCCTTGGATTTACACAAATGTGCACTGAGAGGTCATATTTGGCAGCAGGGAGAATCCTTATCTTTACTACAGCACTTAGGGCTCACAAAAGCTTCTTGTCTGCATTTACGGGAGGTGGAAGGAGCTATTGAAACAAAGATGAGACTTGAAAACAACAGCTCATGTT